TTTGCCGATTTTGGCCAAAATTTAGATTTTCTTTTTTTTGATGCCAATCGATAGTACTGATCCTTACGAGTCCAAAATGGTATAAAATTCCCAAATCGGACATTATTGATGCCAATCGATAGTACTGATCCTTACGAGTCCAAAATGGTATAAAATTCCCAAATCGGACATTATTTGGCCGAGAAATTCCAAAAAATCATCAATAAAGGTTGACTTTACAAACGAATCGTTTTTTGGTCCAGAACTTTTTTTAACCAATCGATTTTTGAAATGTTTGAATGCCAATTTATAATAGGGATCCTTACAAATTTAAAAAGGCATAATATTTTAAAATCTGACAATATTTACCCGAGATATTCAACAAAAATCATTCAAAAAAGTTATGATTTTCGAACCGACCCCGATTTTTTAAAAAAACGTGATGTAACCCCTTGCCATTTTGCCGATTTTGGCCAAAATTTAGATTTTCTTTTTTTGATGCCAATCGATAGTACTGATCCTTACGAGTCCAAAATGGTATAAAATTCCCAAATCGGACATTATTTGGCCGAGAAATTCCAAAAAATCATCAATAAAGGTTGACTTTACAAACGAATCGTTTTTTGGTCCAAAACAACCAGATTAAAGGTTGACTTTACAAACAATCGTTTTTTGGTCCAAAACTTTTTAACCAATCGATTTTTGAAATGTTTGAATGCCAATTTATAATAGGGATCCTTACAAATTTAGAAAGGCATAATATTTCAAAATCTGACAATATTTACCCGAGATATTCAACAAAAATCATCAAAAAAGTTATGATTTTCGAACCGACCCAGATTTTTTAAAAAATCGTGATGTAACCCCTTGCCATTTTGCCGATTTTGGCCAAAATTTAGATTTTCTTTTTTTGATGCCAATCGATAGTACTGATCCTTACGAGTCCAAAATGGTATAAAATTCCCAAATCGGACATTATTTGGCCGAGAAATTCCAAAAAATCATCAATAAAGGTTGACTTTACAAACGAATCGTTTTTTGGTCCAAAACTTTTTTTAACCAATCGATTTTTGAAATGTTTGAATGCCAATTTATAATAGGGATCCTTACAAATTTAGGGCAATATTTACTGACAATATTTACCCGAGATTTAAACATCTCAGGATTTTGGCCAGATTTTTTATGTGATGAGATCCTTGCATTCCGAAATGGCATAAAATTTAAAATCTGACAATATTTACCCGAGATATACAATCCAAAAATCATCAAAAAAGTTATGATTATTCGAACCAGACCCAGATTTTTTAAAAAATCGTGATGTAACCCCTTGACATTTTCAAACGATGTTTTTTGGCCAAAACTTTAGTTTTAACCAATCGATTTTTGAAATGTTTGAATGCCAATCGATAGTAGGGATCCTTACGAGTCCAAAATGGCATAATATTCCCAAATCGGACATTATTTGGCCGAGATATTCCACAAAAATCATCAAAAAAGGTTGACTTTACAAACGAACCGTTTTTTGGTCCAAAATCTTTTTTTAATGCCAATCGATTTTTGCCAAAATGTTTGAATGCCAATTTATAATAGGGATCCTTACAAATTCAAAAAGGCATAATATTTTAAAATCTGACAATATTTACCCGAGATATACAAAAAAATCATCAAAAAAGTTATGATTTTCGAACCGACCCCGATTTTTTTGAAAAATCGTGATGTAACCCCTTGCCATTTTGCCGATTTTGGCCAAAATTTAGATTTTCTTTTTTTTGATGCCAATCGATAGTACTGATCCTTACGAGTCCAAAATGGTATAAAATTCCCAAATCGGACATTATTTGGCCGAGAAATTCCAAAAAATCATCAATAAAGGTTGACTTTACAAACGAATCGTTTTTTGGTCCAAAACTTTTTTTAACCAATCGATTTTTGAAATGTTTGAATGCCAATTTATAATAGGGATCCTTACAAATTTAAAAAGGCATAATATTTCAAAATCTGACAATATTTACCCGAGATATTCAACAAAAATCTTCAAAAAGTTATGATTTTCGAACCGACCCAGATTTTTTTGAAAAATCGTGATGTAACCCCTTGCCATTTTGCCGATTTTGGCCAAAATTTAGATTTTCTTTTTTTTGATGCCAATCGATAGTACTGATCCTTACGAGTCCAAAATGGTATAAAATTCCCAAATCGGACATTATTTGGCCGAGAAATTCCAAAAAATCATCAATAAAGGTTGACTTTACAAACGAATCGTTTTTTGGTCCAAAACTTTTTTTAACCAATCGATTTTTGAAATGTTTGAATGCCAATTTATAATAGGGATCCTTACAAATTTAAAAAGGCATAATATTTCAAAATCTGACAATCTTCACCCGAGATATTCAACAAAAATCATCAAAAAAGTTATGATTTTCAAACCGACCCAGATTTTTTAAAAAATCGTGATGTAACCCCTTGCCATTTTGCCGATTTTGGCCAAAATTTAGATTTTCTTTTTTTTTGATGCCAATCGATAGTACTGATCCTTACGAGTCCAAAATGGTATAAAATTCCCAAATCGGACATTATTTGGCCGAGAAATTCCAAAAAATCATCAAAACCATATTGCCGATTTTGGCCAAAATTTAGATTTTCTTTTTTTTGATGCCAATCGATAGTACTGATCCTTACGAGTCCAAAATGGTATAAAATTCCCAAATCGGACATTATTTGGCCGAGAAATTCCAAAAAATCATCAATAAAGGTTGACTTTACAAACGAATCGTTTTTTGGTCCAAAACTTTTTTTAACCAATCGATTTTTGAAATGTTTGAATGCCAATTTATAATAGGGATCCTTACAAATTTAAAAAGGCATAATATTTTAAAATCTGACAATATTTACCCGAGATATTCAACAAAAATCATCAAAAAAGTTATGATTTTCGAACCGACCCCTATTTTTTAAAAAATCGTGATGTAACCCCTTGCCATTTTGCCGATTTTGGCCAAAATTTAGATTTTCTTTTTTTTGATGCCAATCGATAGTACTGGTCCTTACGAGTCCAAAATGGTATAAAATTCCCAAATCGGACATTATTTGGCCGAGAAATTCCAAAAAATCATCAAAAAAGGTTGACTTTACAAACGAATCGTTTTTTGGTCCAGAACTTTTTTTAACCAATCGATTTTTGAAATGTTTGAATGCCATTTTATAATAGGGATCCTTACAAATTTAAAAAGACATAATATTTTAAAATCTGACAATATTTACCCGAGATATTCAACAAAAATCATTAAAAAAAGTTATGATTTTCGAACCGACCCCGATTTTTTTGAAAAATCGTGATGTAACCCCTTGCCATTTTGCCGATTTTGGCCAAAATTTAGATTTTCTTTTTTTTGATGCCAATCGATAGTACTGATTCTTACGAGTCCAAAATGGTATAAAATTCCCAAATCGGACATTACTTGGCCGAGAAATTCCAAAAAATCATCAAAAAAGGTTGACTTTACAAACGAATCGTTTTTTGGTCCAGAACTTTTTTTAACCAATCGATTTTTGAAATGTTTGAATGCCATTTTATAATAGGGATCCTTACAAATTTAAAAAGGCATAATATTTCAAAATCTGACAATATTTACCCGAGATATTCAAAAAGTTATGATTTTCGAACCGACCCAGATTTTTTTGAAAAATCGTGATGTAACCCCTTGCCATTTTGCCGATTTTGGCCAAAATTTAGATTTTCTTTTTTTTGATGCCAATCGATAGTACTGATCCTTGCGAGTCCAAAATGGTATAAAATTCCCAAATCGGACATTATTTGGCCGAGAAATTCCAAAAAATCATCAATAAAGGTTGACTTTACAAACGAATCGTTTTTTGGTCCAAAACTTTTTTTAACCAATCGATTTTTGAAATGTTTGAATGCCAATTTATAAAAGGGATCCTTACAAATTTAAAAAGGCATAATATTTCAAAATCTGACAATATTTACCCGAGATATTCAACAAAAATCTTCAAAAAGTTATGATTTTCGAACCGACCCAGATTTTTTTGAAAAATCGTGATGTAACCCCTTGCCATTTTGCCGATTTTGGCCAAAATTTAGATTTCTTTTTTGCCAATCGATAGTACTGATCCTTACGAGTCCAAAATGGTATAAAATTCCCAAATCGGACATTATTAGGTTCTGAGATCCTTGCATTAATACATACGGACTGACGGACAGACAGAGAGACGGACATGGCTAGATCGACTCGGCTATTGATGCTGATCAAGAATATACATATATACTTTATGGGGTCGGATATGCTTCCTTCTGCCTGTTACATACAATTGCACAAATACATTAGCCCCCTTTTTACCCATTTTCAATGGGGTCAGGGCATAAAAAGGACACCTATTTCCCATATCCATAACCATTGTTTTTATCTAACTATTTTGGGTAGATGATAATTTTGGTTAGAGATCAAATTTCGTTCGGAATACTTGCAATATTTTTGTTAGAACGGGCAACTTTAAATTAAAAATGGATTTGTTTCATTAAAAAATTGTCAATCTATATCTGAACCAAGGACTGCACCAAGACCTGGGTTAATAGATGTGGTTCACGAGGTTCACGAGCCAAAACAAAAGACGACAAATATTTTTTTTTGATTTGCTTCATGACTCATGGCATCATACACGTCCATAGCTGTGCATAGCTACCATAAAATTAAAAATACTATCAGCATGCGTATAAAAACAATTGAATAACTGGCTCAAATGAACGGAAAGTAGCCAGAAGAATGCGAATGAGCTGAGCGAATGATAGCTGCACTTAAGCTAGGGCGAACTAGTTCGTTTTGGAACCTAGTGTTGAGTAACGAGAGAACAAATGCAGAGACTTAAAGTCAGCTTAAAAGTATGCTACAACAAGCTGTGCTAAGAGAGGGAGAGAAATAGAGAGAGAGAGAGAGGGAGAGAGAGAGACAGAGCTTTGCTTAAGCTTTCGTTGGCTAAATGAGAGCTGGCGTTTGTTATTTACTATTTAGTAAAATGTCAACAATTTGTGTTGAATGTATTTCAAATCGTACGAAATAAAACAAATAAATTCAAAATTTGAACAAAATACAAAAGGAAACAACTTGGACACAGGCCACGCGAGACACGGCAACAATAACGGGAACAGCAACAACAACAACAGCAGGAGCAGGAGCTGGCGTTGCCAGAGGAGAACACTAGCAAGAGCAGGAGCTGGCGTTGCCAGAGAGTGCCAACTGTGGATGTTTGCGTGCGTGCGTGCGTGCGTGTGCGTGCGTGTGCGTGTGTGTGTGTGCGCGCATATGGAGTGCGCGCGTCTAAGGATCTAAAGTTTGGCAATAGCTCAGCTTGCCGCTACCCTTAATTTACCCAACCCCGCGCCAACAAACAGTTCAAGCAATTGCGCCCCCCCCCCCCCATTACCTGCTCCTCGCCCCTTTTGCCCTTGCATTAAGAAGGAGCATGAGCATGTTCTTCAATCGGATGCCGCTGCTGAACTGCTTCAGCGGTCCAACCGAAAGCTGCGAGGAGCTGCTGCCACTGAGTGCCGCCAGCAGCAAGGAGCCGGTGATCATCAATGTGTACGATCTGTTCAATATCAATGAGTATGTGGTGCCGCTTGGCCTGGGCATCTTTCACACGGGCGTGCAGGTCTATGGCACGGAGTATACATATGGCGGGCATAGCTTCGCCAATACGGGCATCTTTGAGATGCCGCCGCGCAGCGCCGAACAGGAGCTGGGCGAGCATTTTCATTATCGGCAGAGCATACAGCTGGGCCACACGCAGTTCACGCGCGACGAGGTGCATCGCATTGTCGAGCAACTGGGCTGGCAATTTACGGGCAATAGCTACCATCTGACCAACAATAATTGCAATCATTTCTCGGACGCGATGGCGCGCATCTTGTGCGGCCGCCAGATACCCGGCTGGATCAATCGGCTGGCCTATTTCGTCGGCTGTGTGCCCTTCCTGGAGCGCTGCCTCCCACCCGAGTGGCTAACGCCGATGTAATCTTGGTCGGGGGAGGGGGGGGCGGTGCCTCGATTGTGGGCGGAGACACGGGCACAGGATGAGACAGAGACAACAGAGCCAGCCCGACGATTATTATTATTATTATTATTTTGTTGTTTCGTTTCGGTTCGGGTTGGGTTGGGTTGGGCTGGGTTGGTGGGCAGCGCATCCTGGCGGTGTTGAGCGCGTTTTTGTGTGTTGTTTTAACGAGTATATCGATTGCCCTCATTGGCCACACATGTGTGCATTTACATAGTTATTGAAATACACTTGACGACATACGCGATAAATTCAATACCACCTACATATATTGATAGTCTAAATCTAATAAATAGTACTCTCAGAAATTTAGCTCAAACTGTCTTTTGTCCTCTATATCAGATATACTCGACGATTATTGGTTAGGTTAGGCGCGCAGCGAGTAGAAAGTAGCGAGTAGCGAGTAGCGAGTAGCGATCATAATTTTACGTAATTATTGTATAGTCTTCAACGGGTCTCGCGTTGGATGGAAAAATCTCAATGCCTGAAATAGTAACGAGTAAAAAGCAGCGAGCAGCGAGTAGCGAGTAGCGAGTAAGAAACAAGAAATGTACGCACTTATTTTCTATTGTGTAATTGCAGCAGCTCTTAAATTAAATACTTTTGAAGATTTTAATGTCGAAATAGTAGTGAGTAAAAGGTAGCGAGTGACGAGTCATAATTGTACATAGTTATGTTCTATTAAGTAAGCTAAATAGAAGCGAGTAGAAAGTAGCTATTGGGCAATCTTAAGCGGTTCTCTAGCAAGTAGCGAGTAAAAAGGAGCGAGTGACGAGTCATAATTGTACATAATCCCGGTCTATTTATGTGCAAAAATAGTAGCGAATGAAATGAAGCGGGTGACGAGCTTTATTCTTATATTAACACCTAATCGTTAAAGATGTGACGAGTAGCGAGTGGTAATAATAAGTGACGAGCTATTAATGTTTGGTATAAGTGAATTCCTTGAAAATTCTCTATATAAACCTAAACGGTTGAATAAATTATAATTGAATTAATGAAGTATCAAAAATATTCGCAAATAACTGAAAGTCAGGCATAAATTTGAAGATAACAACTTACCTCGAAAGCGCTGAATATTTAATGATGACTGGACATGGGCGCTCTTTCGATTGTTTGGCCATTGGGAATTGGGCAGCAGAGAGACCGAGTTTGCCGAAGATATCGAAATATATGAAAAAAGGCACGCATCTTTATGAATCACAATTGAAACGCTTGGGCGCCATCAAAGAATTTGCTGACATCTGCATTTCGGGCACCCTTCCATGACGTTGCTTTGGCTATTGTTTATTATTTCTCAACTGAGAGTCAGTCAAATCGATAATAAGGCGAGTGGGAACAGCTCTGCTTGAAGGGGGAAACAAAATTTGAATACCAAATTGACAGAAATTTGCAGATAAAACTCTGCTGAAAAGCTATCAAAGAGGTTTCCCAAATAGAAGCTAGCTATAATTTAGTTCCGGTTCGAGCTCGGAACTTAAAGTTTTAGATTGTTTTTCAATATTAATTTGCTATGAATTAGTTGGTCCACAAACTATCCAAGCAATATATCCAATATATCCGATCCTATTAATACAACTATATAAAAAACAATTTTTTTTTTTTTTTTTTTTTTATTAGTTTTATTTATGTTTAATTTTGCTGTTGTTTGGCATAATTCGTTAAACATGTTTTTGGTTTTCATTTTGTTTTGTTTTTCGTAATTAAATATATATAGTTTATGTATTTTATTTGATTTTTTGTTTTTTTGTTGTTTTTTTTTTTTGTTTTTTTTTTTTGTAGTTGTATTTTGGTTGTAGTTGTTGCATCGATCGTTTTGCATTTTGGTTTTGTATGCTTTCGTTTTTAATTAGTTTAGTTTTCGTTTTCGTTTTCGATTTCGATTTCGAGTTTTCGTTTAGAATTAATTATTAAATTTAACTTCTGTTTATGCATTGCTTAGCTAAAAAAAAATCGACTTACAATTAGTTTACACAAGTTTAAATAGTTCGAACGACGTTTTACTTCTGATCGCTTTGGGTGCACTTTTTTAAGGGTTGACTGTTTATGTTTTTTTTTTTTTTTGCTTAATTGGTAAGTAACGAGTGGCGAGTGGCGAGTGGCGAGTGTGATTTGTAGCACAATTAAGACTCGTTACATTTGGTTGGAATTTAAAAAAGACTGTGGCTTGATAAGCTAGCGACGAGTAGCAAGTAGCGAGTAGCGAGTAGCGAGTGAACCGCAACTCGTTTTATCTGGTAGACTGTGAGACTGAGCGTGTAACGAGTGGCCCGAGACTCGTTATATTTGAGACTGTGTGACTGAATGTGTGACTGAACGAGTAGCGAGTGACGAGCGACGAGCGACGAGCGACGAGTAGCGAGTGGCATGTACTAGCTGTAGTTCTATTCGTTATTAACAATCTGTCTTATGCTAAGCGCGCCTTCGCAAACTGATTTATATTGTGTAGTATACATAGGTTATGTGCTTATGCATATGATACAATAATTTCATTTTTTCTTTGGTTTTTCATTATCTTATTCGTTTTCTTTGTTCAATTATAATGTCACGCTAAAATCTCAATACACAGTTTGGCTTAGTAACTACGACTAGTTGCCTATTACAATATATGCTTAAATACGATTTGTTTATCTTTAGGGGCTATGACAATATTCCCCTAAAAAAAAAAAAAAAAAAAAAGAATTACACAGACAAAATATCAACAGTCTTACAAGTACATTTTATATATATATATATATATTTATATATTTATATATATGTTTAGGTATACGTTACGCCCACATAAATTCGAGTACGACATTCAATAGCTTAGGTATTTCAGCGCACACACACACACACACACACACACACACACGCACACAGCTACTTGACATGAAATAGTTCTAAGTACATACAGACAGAGATTTATAGCTATGCCTACCTATATGTATATACACACACACATATACATATACATATGCATGTGCTCTATACGTATTTAGGTGCTACTCTATATATTCTTTATATATATATATGTATATATATATGTATATATGTCTATATATATATGTGTATAGTTGCTGCCCATTTGACGCACTCGCTCTTAAATGATCGCAATCCAATGGCCAAAATTGGGATTGTGATCTTTTAAAAGAAGTCGTCAAAGGTTTTTGATTATGTTTGATATTGCAGCATCGGCGCCGATAAGTTCGGATGATGCGAGCTATTCATGCGCAATGCGGATAGGCTTTTGTTATACCATTCGTCCTCCGGCGACATGCCTGCCAAAACAGAGAGAGAGAGAGAAATGGAAAAGAAATGCGAATTAGATTTGATTAGAGATTAGCTCAGGTGTCGATTGAATCAACAGTTCTTTATGCATATTCATGATTACCTAAGATTTCCGCTACCTAAACGAAAAACAGGCGACAGGACACAGGACAGAGGACAGGATGCTCGCCTAACTGGACATGCGACTTGAGAAATTTGTCTTCGCTTCGTTTTATGTATATGTTTTTTTTTTTTTTTTTTTTGGTGGGGGGGGGGGGGGGGGGCTCCTTGAAATGTGCTTGGCCGGAAATTCATTTGCTGATTCGTTGTCGCCTTGCTTATTTCTCTGCTCCCCTCTCTATCTGTCTCCCTCTCGCCCTCTCATAATATCCGGTCAAGTAGTCAACCCCGCAAACGCAAACATTCCATATGTGCGCATATAAATGCAAGTATTATATTTATATACATATATGTATATGTATATGTATATCTAAACGTATTTACGCTAAGTAGTTGCTTATCTTTCGGTTTTGTTTACGGCTCCATTTGAAACACCTTCCCTCTCTCGCTCTCTCTCCCTCTCTCGCTCTCTCTCTCTCTCTCTGACGGCGCGACGGCGTCTTTCAGTATGCGTTCAATAAACAAAAAATCGAACCTCAGACAAACGACTCGGATTAATGGAGCCGCATTCGAACGGAAAATTTACTTACAACTTGCCATAATATTCGTAATTGATTTATTTACCAGCTAAATGTTTAAATAATATCAACTATATAAGTAGCTGCCTATGCGGTTTTCCCATGAAGTTCTCTTTGTCATCAATGGAATTTGAGCTCATTTACATGCAAATCGCTAACTTGGAGGACTCTCTGCTATTATCTGTAATATCCCTTAAATATGATTGTACTCGAAGAGCAATGCTTCTTCAAAAGAGAGAGGGGGCGAGAGAGAGAGCGCGCTAAGCTTTTGCGACTCTTCATGTGCATTATCGAAATTAGCGAAGGTAAACGCAGCTTTTATAAGACATCACGTTCTCCCGGATTCATAGCTTTAAAAAATAAGCTAAACAACACAGAACTGAGATTAGTTGAAAGAGCGAGATCGAATAATTTCCAAAACAAATATGGCCACAGTTTGTAAACAGCTCGAAAATTGCACACCGAAAATAAAGAGTGGCAACCATTTAAGGCTTTGCGAAAGAATTGTGACGTCACAGCGCAGAATGCCGGGCGCGACCTTGTCGAGGTGCTAGGCTCAGTGCGCATGCTCAAGCCGAGCTCAAGCCGAGAGAGCCAAAGCTCTGCTCGGCCGCCCGAAGAAGAGAGGAGCGCGCGCGCGCGCGCTCGAGAGTGAAAGCTGGCAGCGGGCGATCGGTGCTCGCAGCTAAAAAAGGCCAAAACAGATGTCAAACGTTTTTAATTAGTTGGCGACCAGCGACGGGCCAGGACGTTGACGCAGCGCAAAGAAGATCGCAAGAAAGCAAGTGCAAAAAAGCAAAGAAGATAGATGTGAGATGTGAGAGAGCAAAAAGACGGACAAACGTGAGTAATGCCTGCCAATTCGAGTAGCTATCGATAGTTGTTGTTGTTGTCGTTGTTGTTGTTGTCGAACTTACCCATCGAGTCCTGACGCACGCCCACGGAGCCCATATTCGTGCTGTGCGCCATTGAAAATGGCTGCGTCATGCCCGGATAGGAGGAGGCGCCCATTTGGAACAGATCCTGCAAGTGTTACACATAAGTTAAGAGTCTGTGCGCGTGTGTGTGTGTGTGCCCGTGTGTGTGTGTGTGCCTTACCTGGGGATAACGGTTCATGGTGTTGTGGTGTGGATACGGCTGATAGCCGCGGGACACGCTATAGCCTTGAATGTTCCGCATCATGCCGTTGCACGACGGGATCACAGATGGTGCCAATGCCTTTTGCAGCTGCTTCTCCTGCTTGCGGTATTTGGCGCGTCGATTCTGAAACCAAACCTGCAACAAAAGCAACAACAAAACGTTTGAGTGACGAAAAAATGGTAATGAAAGAATGCAATGTAAAGCGGCAATTAAAGCGTTGCCGGACCTTTAAGTTGTTTTCGAAATTAACCAAACGCCTGCCGCAGCACTTGGGCAACGCTGTGCGCAGGAAGCGGCAGAAAACAGAGTGCAAAGGAAAAAAACGAATTTAAAACGAAAAGCGGATGATGGCAAAAAAAAAAAAAAAAGGCAAAGCCAAATGGCAAAAAACATGGCAAAGCCCTCGCCCCACCCCGCCCCCCACACGCGCCCAGGCATTTCTCCTAAGACTGGGGGCGTTGTCTGTCCTCGTCTTATGAGTGAAAAAATCTACAAAATTGAAATTGAAAATAAGTTGACGACGCTGTTTGTAAGCGCCCAACGGGTGGAGTGTGGAGAGAGGGATGGAGGGAGGGGGGGGGGGGGGCTGCTTGGCGAGGTTGGTTGGGTTCTGCTTAGACATTATTAAAGATGGTCCTCACGATTGCGACCGGGCGAGTGCGAGGGCGAGGTGGGCGAAAAGAAATTGCCAAGATGAAAGCCCGCGCCTTGGCATAGACAACAAGCGGGTGGGTGCGTGGAGGGGGAGGGGAAGGGTGGGCCGGTTGCCTGAGTTGGGTTGTGTAAAAATTTCCGACATTTTGAAAGCTGCGCTCAGCTTGCTTTGAGTTGCTTACAAGACGAAACGTAGCGCCTGTAATGGCGGGCACAGACAAGGGGTGGAGGGTGGGGGGGAGAGGGAGGGGGGGGGGCTGCAAGTGTGTGTGTGTGTGCGTGTATGTGTGCAGATGGTGGTTGCGGGCGGTTGTTGTTGGGTTTCTTGCCTGTCGTCTTCTTGGACGTCTTTGGCATTTTTCTTGTATTTATTTTATCATTATTATTATCTTTGTCCATGACTATGTGTCTGTGTGTGTCTGTGTGTGTGTGTCTGTGTGTGTGTGTGTTGGTTTTAATGAAAAATACAAGCTTGCCTGACTGTCTGCCTGGCTGCCTGGCTGCCCCCGCCCTGCCCTCACCCGCTTTGGGGGTTGTTTTGTGTGCCCACTTGATGGCTCGTTCGGTTTCATTTGGTTGGCTGCCAGCATAAAAATGCCAGCCCAGCATGTTTGTGTGTGTGTGTGTGTGTGTGTGTGTGTGTGCGCCTGTAAAAAATGCTCTTAACCATGAGCCAGAGCTGTTTGTTGGAGGGTTGAAACTGGTCCGACTGTCTGTCTGTCTGGTGAGCTAGTGTGTGCGCGTGTGTGCGCGTGTGTGTGTGTGCGTGTGTGTGTGTGTGTGTGGGCGGAGTAACTCAATTAAGGATCCATTTGATGGCACACACACACACACACACAGCCATAAAATAGATACACATACACGAAAATAAAATGGCAAAAATAAAAATGGATAAAAAGAAAAAACAACAAAAAAAAGGCAACAACAAATTTGTAAAATCGAGCGCCGAACTTTGTTATACCCTAAGAAAAGTAAACGGCATAATGCATATTTTCCAATTGATATATAGAGAGAGAGAGAGAGAGAGAGAGAGAATCAAATAGATTTTGATCGATTTTCAGATATGAGATTTTCCCATAAGATGCAAAAAAAAATGCCATGTTTATGAAATTTGAACTGTGAGAATTTTTTGTAAATAAATGTTTTTACATTTGTTTGGTGAAAAATGCTTTCAAATTTTTATAACCGTCTGAAGGCTTGGCCAAAAAAAAATGCTTTTCAATTTTTCTACCATCTTGAGGCTTAGTAAAATATGTTTTTTTTTTGTACTTCTTTTTTTTTGGCATCTTGAGGCTTAGTAGAAATATATTATAATTATTTTACCATTAAGGCTTAGTAAGAAGAAAATGTTTTAAATTTGTTGTCAACTTATTAGTAATAAAATGTTGTTGTTCTTATTTTTGTTTGCCGTCTTGAGGCTTAGAAATAAATATAAAAAAAATATTAAAAATTGTTATTACTTAAAAAAAATTTTTCCAACCATTTCTAGCATCTTGAGGCTAATTAAAAAAATGTTTTGAATTTTTTGTTACCAATAAAATAGTTTACCAAATTTGTTCGACCATCTTGAGGCTTAGTAAAAAAATGTCGTTAATTTTTGTAACCATTGAGATTTGATAAAAAATGTTTTTCATTTGTTTTACGATCTCTTTAATTTGAATTTGTTTTCTCAACGATTTGCAGCTTTTTGCAAAGAAAGTTTTGAATAAAGTTGCTCGCAGCTTAATTTGAGCATTCAAAAATTTGCCCAAAATGTGTTCAAGTATATGAACGTGAATTTGATTGTTAGTTTTTTTTCGGTATATGCTCTAATTAGTTATGCAAAACAAATTGGAAAGTATTCCTAAAAAAGAGTTATCATTTTTTGTTGTTTTCACATGTTTTTTGAATGCTTCTCATTTCTGTGGCTAATCTAAAAAATTGGCAGGCAGCGCAGCTTAATTAGATAAATGTAAATTATAACTACAAATAACCATGCATCAGAAATACACACACACACACACTCGCACGCACACACTCGCACACACACACTCGCACATGTTGTTGTTGCCGCGACGGAAATATGAAAATTAAACGTATTCAAATTGAATTTACTTTCAACATTTAATCAAATTTTGACCCGCATAACGTTCAGTGCAATGTTTTGTGTGCTTTGGTTTTTTCAATTCAACAACGTTTAGGTTTTATTGTTGTTGTTGTTGTTGCTGTTGTTGTTGTTGTTGTTGTTGTTGCTTTAGAGTTAGCTGAACTTTTGGCAATGTCTGCGGTGCGTTGACCTACAAAACGGCAGCCAAACTAACTCCTATCAGACATCAGCTATCATAATAGGCGCTTGCCAATTGGAGTCCAATTGGAATCCATTTCACTTGAGCTGGCATTAAACTTGCTCACTCAAGAGTGAGAGAGCGAGAGAGTGAGAGAGAGAGAGAGAGAGCGAGAGAGCGAGAGAGAGAAGGCGACATCTGCGAGCCCATAAATTGAACATATTATATATATTCGTGATCAGCAGCAATAGCTGAGTGTATATAGCCATAGGCAGAACATTCATATATTCCTGATCATATATATATATATCTGATCAGTGGGAATAGATAGAGATAGATTATCATATCTATCTGATCTGTCCTTGGCCTAGTTACAAATCTCCTCCGAAGGAATCGGAATCCCGCAAAAGGTTCTCTACAGTTCTTCAGCTTATGCAAATAACTTTCACCCTATTCCTTGGACAAGTCTTAACAAAATCAGAATACTATATCATAGGGTTCTATAGAAATAGAGAAACGCTTGACAAATGCGTCATAGATGCGTGGAAAACTTTGCCAATTGTCATAAAATCTCGAACAAAATCAGCCTTATGTCTACAAGAGTTTTTAATATCATTTCTTGTCATTATTTTTAATCGGTTTCTAGTCTAATTTTCAGTCGTAGATTTGACAATTTTTGCTATCAATTGAATTGGGAGACTTTTTATTAATTGTTGTACACAAAGAAACGCCCATTCATCAAAAACTCTTTAATCATCTTAATCATCTTTTTTATATTTTATATTATATATATTGCTCAAAGAAAGTATCGCAATATTAATCTCTTTATCTATAAACAGAGCGAGTTAATATTCAAAAAAAGCTTTTTCAAATGAACTCAGTTTCTATTCAATTCATAAACTCTAAAGCTCGTCAAGCGCTAAACACAATTAACGGAGTGCAGCAGACAGAATATCAATTCTGGCTTGTAATTCTCAACCAGTTAAAGCAGTGCGAAGGATTTCACATTTGCCTTCCTTTTGTTTAACTTTTAAGTATTTCTCTTCAATTGATTCTGGCTTATATTTCTCAGGCCTTCCCTTTGCTTAACTCTTAAGTATTGCTCTCTAATTGGACAACAATTGATTCTGGCTTGTAATTCTCAACAAGTTAAAGCAGTGCGAAGGACTTCACATTTGCCTTTCTTTGTTTAACTTTTAAGCATTTCTCTTCAATTGATTATGGCTTGTAATTCTCATATCTTCCCTTTGTTTTACTCTTAAATATTGCACTCTTATTGGACAACAATTGATTCTGGCTTGTAATTCTCAACCAGTTAAAGCAGTGCGAAGACTTCACATATGCCTTCCTCTTGTTTAACTTTTAAGTATTTCTCAACAATTGATTCTGGCTTGTAATTCTCATATCTTCCCTTTGTTTAACTCTTAAATATTGCACTCTTATTGGACAACAATTGATTCTGGCTTGTAATTCTCAACCAGTTAAAGCAGCGCGAAGAGCACAAGGCGAAGATTTCACAGGCCTTCCTCTTGCTTAACTCTTAAGTATTGCTCTCTTATTGGACAACAATTGATTCTGGCTTATAATTCTCATATCTTCCCTTTGTTTAACTCTTAAATATTGCTCTCCAATTGGACAACAATTGATTCTGGCTTGTAATTCTCAACGAGTTAAAGCAGCGCGAAGAGCACAAGGCGAAGATTTCACAGGCCTTCCTCTTGCTTAACTCTTAAGTATTGCTCTCTAATTGGACAACAATTGATTCTGGCTTGTAATTCTCAACCAGTTAAAGCAGTGCGAAGGATTTCACATTTGCCTTCCTTTTGTTTAACTTCTAAGCATTTCTCTTCAATTGATTCTGGCTTGTAGTTCTCATACCTTCCCTTTGTTTAACTCTTAAATATTGCTCTCTAATTGGACAACAATTGATTCTGGCTTATAATTCTCAACCAGTTAAAGCAGCGCGAATGGCACAAGGCGAAGACTTCACACATGCCTTGCCTTTGTTTAACTCTTAATTAAGTATTGCTCTCCAATTGGACAACAATTGATTCTGGCTTGTAATTCTCGCATCTTCCCTTTGTTTAACTCTTAAGTATTGCTCTCTAATTGGACAACAGTTGATTCTGGCTTGTAATTCTCAACCAGTTAAAGCAGCGCGAAGACTTCACATATGCCTTCCTTTTGTTTAACTTTTAAGTATTTCTCAACAATTGA